CCCAGGATCTGGCCCAGGCACTTCCCCAGGGACCAGAAGAACCCGGAGGTGGCGTTGGCGAAGCCTCGCAGCCCCTTGGGGGAGATCTCCCCTGCGTACTGAGGGTGGATGGTCAGGCAGAAGCCTGCAGGGACGACAGCAGAAGAGAGAGGTCGGCCGGGCCGCAAGGAGGCGCCCGGAGCCCCTCTCCCCTTTCTCCGCCCCGCATCTCTGCCCGACCCCGAAGGGCTCTTCCATCCTTTTTCGTAACGGAACGAGCGCCTCTTCTCCTCACGGCTCAACAACCCGTTCTCCCCTCCCCACGGGAGCGCGATGGGCGCTGCCCGCCCCCCGCCGTCGCCTGACCCAGACTGCGGGACGGGGAAGGGAAGAGACGCCCCGTCCTGACGGGAGGGGGCGATCGGGGCCTGCTGCCCCTTGGAGGGAGGGTGCTGGGCCCTCCTGCCTCCGGGGACGCCGGGCCCTCCTCCCCCGCCGCGCGGAGACCAGGCGGGCCGGCCTCTTCCTCCTGGCGCGGCTCGCCGGCTACCCTTTGGGGCACCGCTGGCCTCAGTCTCCCTCGTGCCCAGAAGGTGAACAAGCCCAAGAGGATTCTCTCTGCCTCCCCACTAAGAATCTCCTAGGGATGATGGATCCGGACCACCCCGCCGCCGCCTCCCAGCTCCCGCTGCCCAGGTGGGTGCAAAGTGGGCCCCACGCCTTACCGGCAGCCACTCCGTAGAGGAAGCGCCCAACCATGAGCATCTCGAAGGATTTGGCCCTCCGGCTGTAGCCCACGAGGAGGGCAGTCCCAGCCACCAGCACGTCCACGCACAGCAGACTTTTCTTCCTGCACCCACGTCCGCCGGGGCAGCAAAGGGGACCGGGAAGAAATGGCCGGGGTCATTTGCTCCGCTCTCCCTCCCGCCGCCCTGAATAGCCCTTCCCTCCCGGTCTGCGACAACCATTCCAGCTCCCCTCCTCCAATCCCCCCCCACCAAGGGTCCCCTGCTGCTCCCACCCAGGGCGAGCATGCTCGCAGCTGGAGAAGGAGGAGGCGAGCGGCCTGGTATGTCCTCAGAGGACAGTGGCTGCAACTTCAGACTTCCCGGGAAATGGGTCCCATTTAATTCTGACTATCATGCAAAGAGATCGAAACATTTCCCTTGGCTGGAAGACCTCGCAGTGCCCTTCATAGCAGCCAAATGCAGCAAAATCACAACCATACAGCAGTGTGAAAAGAAAAAGGAAATAAATGTATCACATCCTTTTGCTATGAAGACATTAGAGGCAGCCTGTCTTTAGAAGAGGATAAACCTCCTGTGCTGATTATGGGTGAGTTTCACATTCTCAGCTCCTGGGGTTTACAAACTAGTTTGCTTTGTTCCTGACTGGTTTTTAGGACTTAACCTCCCAGAATAGACACGTTCTAGATGGGCAGTATATAAATCTAATAAATAAATAATAAAATAAATAAGCACATTTTTCTTTTCTCAAACTCAGTCATGTCTCTCCAACACCAATGTGTTTCTACTGCTAATTATAGAGTATCTATAACATTGGATTAAAAATATATTCCAGCAGTCCTTTCTAAAGCAAAGCCAGGGACCCAGGAAAGAAAATTATCTCTGTGGGTTTGTTTCCCAGGCTTCCCCCCCCCCGCCGCCCCAATGGGGCCAAAAGCTTCCAGGGGTTCTTTGCTGCCCCATCTCTGTCAGGCAGACGTACTTCCCGTATTTCACCGTCAGGTGTCCACAGCAGAGGGACCCCAGCAGCCCTCCAGCACCATAGATGGACACGATGAAGGACCAGAGAAACAGGAGGGTCTTTTCGTGCAGAGGGGATCCAGTGCGTGCCATCCAGGTCTCGTTCATAAATCTACGGATATACTATGGCAGAGAAGAGGGTTGCATGAGGAAGCAGCTTCCGCTCAATCCCTTCCTCTCCTTAGCAGGTAAAGACACCTGTCCCAATTTGAAGGGCTTTAGATGACCCCATACTCTGGGAAATGATAATGATTTTTAAACAATTAGCTCAGCTACGCTGCATTTCTACTCTTCTAAAGGAAGCTGTCTTATTTTTTAAAAGTCAGGATAGATTTTGAGCTTCTGGCTGACCCCAGTTGATGGAGTTCTCCAGCTGGCAGCATTCATTTCAAGCCCCTGAAATAGGAATGTGATTCTCGGGAGGGGGTAGTTTCATGGGAAGGTCACGCCTGCCTGCTTTGCCCAATGGGGCACGAGGGAAAGACATCATCCCTCCGCATCCACCTCCCCACCAAAACAGGAGATGGTCTCCGCAGAGGGGGCCGCTTACCACAGAGGGATAGTTGATCACCGAAATCTGGTATCCAATTGAGAGGTTGCCACCAATCCCCAGAACCAGGATCATTTGTAACAGCTTCTGGTACTGGACCTGCACAGGGGGACAAAGCACAAAAGCTGCCCAAGACAACCAGCACCCCCCCCAGCCCTCCCCTTTTAGCAATAGAGCAAGGCTCCTGTTGGAGGTGACAGTGGCTGCGGGTTTGCCCTCTGGGGACCCTTCCAGAGCTCATCACAGAAGGAATCCTTGTGACTGCTCTCCTGCAAGCATAAATTAGGCCAGGGGTTTGCTTAACTCTGTTCCACTTCTGTGCTCCCTGTAGTAGCAGGTGCACATAAGGCGGGGGGCTCCCCCCCTTAAGGTTATGTTGGTTCTGATTCAGATTGTGTCGTAAGAACAAGAGTTGGGGGGGGAGAGGGTCCCTAGAGGAAGGGAGGGCGGGAACACACACACACACACACACACACACACAAGGCCTTCTTGGAGAAAGAAGAGAGCAAGGAGGCCCCTGTGGATTGCCGTGGGGGATTGCATGGCCCAGAGAGAAAGAAACCGGGTTTCTGGGAAGGACACAGAGCACAGGTCCAAGTGGGGGGGGTGTTCCATAGAAGTTGGGGAGGGACTGACAAGAGACAAAGGAGGTCTGTTGCTTCCCTGGCACCAACCCCCCCCACACACACACTTCAGATTGGTGCCCACTGCAGGACAGGGAGACGGATGAGACCAGAGCAGTCACCTCCCGGCCCAGCCCTGACCAAGCCGAGATGCCAGCCGAGCAGGAACTGGCAAGGCTGGCTCTTCCTCCCTCCCAAAGGCTCAGCCTGGCAATCTCCCGCATGCGGTGCCGCCCTTGCCCCATGGCAGGGGCACCCACTCTGTGGGGCAGGCGTTACTTACCAGCACAGAGCGCAGCCCCTCCATTCTGAACGGACAGACATGCAGCTTAGAGTGGGGAAGGAGCCCTCCTGGCACCAGCCGGCTCTCAGTGCCCGCTTGATGGCATAGGAGAGGTGGCACTGATGGAAACCATGACACCCGAGTTAAAATTAACTGCCTAGCTGTGCCCTTCCAGACCACTGGGCAGGACAGAGGAGCGCTGGGTTGAATCAACCATTAATATCCGTAGGAGGCAACCGGGAAGGGTTCACGGAGGGAAAGGTCAAACGTGTCCAGGCATAACAACAGCCAACGGCCCTATGGTTGATCTCATGGTTCAGGAGGGAGAAGGGGGCTCCATCTTATCTCTTATGCAGTCCTTGGGTTCTGGACCACTGATTCTAAAACCCCACAGAGTTCTTCACTGCTCCGCTTGAGTGGAGATCTGCTCCCACAGGGCTCGGGAGAGTGAACTGAAATCCACCACAGGTCCCATCCTGATGCAGCAGCATCAGTGCCTGACCAGCTAGATGAAAAGCCTGGTGTGCTGCTTATATACAGCCCCATAATGCTTAAAGGGGCCCTCCAGCCAGTTTATACAGTAATTTAATTAGAGTTGCAGCATTTTTTTTTCAAAAAATCTTTTCTTTGCCTTCTTCTAAAGGGCTGGTTGAGAAACCTCCCATAGCCAAAATCATGGCCATGGATTCTACTGTGGGCGGTTTCCCAACCCAGCCTTGGAGACAAGCCCTCCATCCAGTTTATAATTTAATTAGAGTTGCAGCATTTTTTTTTCAAAAAATCTTTTCTTTGCCTTCTTCTAAAGGGCTGGTTGAGAAACCTCCCGTAGCCAAAATCATGGCCATGGATTCTACTGTGGGCAGTTTCCCAACCCAGCCTTGGAGACAAGGCAAAAGGAAGTGTGTTCTTCCCCCATGACTGATACAATGCATCAGCGATAGGTTGGTATATATAATGAAATAGATGAATAAACAAACCTGAAGTGTCTTGGGAGACAAGGCAAAAGGAAGTGTGTTCTTCCCCCATGACTGATACAATGCATCAGCGATATCCATACAGTATATTTCATTTAATTTTGCTGGATTTGTTTGTTTGTTTTTTGATTTTATCATTGTTCTAATTGTGTTGCTTGACTTTGTTATGCTGTGAACCACCCAGAATAGTGCTATGCACTAATACGTTGGTATATGCAGTATATGAAATACAGTAGATGAATAAACAAACCTGAAGTGTCTTGCTTATTAAGCCCCTTCCCAGTACTGGCAAATTTAAACCAGAAGACTAGCTTGGGATCAGCTCCAGCAATCACACCCCGGAACTGCTACCAGCACCAAAAGGAGTAGATGCCCCTGACAGGGGCTCAGAAATGTATGGATCGGACTGCTCTGAGGATGGACTGGTTTATTCCAGCAAAGACTGTGTCAGTATATACTGTAATTTGAATAAATAAATATAAACTTGATCACTATTTTTAAGAGCGAACCAGCCCACTCTTGCAGCAAACCAAACAGTGGGTGAAATAACCGTGTTGCCGGCTGCTGAGTTTAGGGCCGCCTTCTTTGCCTCTTGGGGCAGGAAGGGAGACTCTGAGACTTTACTCAGAGGGGAGGGACAGCTTTTGGGCACAGGGAAAGGAGGCCTGAAGCCTGACTGCAGAATTTGTTGTGAAGTGGACCGAACGGGACACGGAGACCAACACAGCCTGGAACATTTGGAGGCTTTCCTTTATTCCTGATGGCTAGCAGGCGGGCAGAGGCCTGGCGTAGATGTTAACACCTGCCAGAAGGGCATGGCTGCTCACCTGCTGGCTGGCTGGAAGGAAGAAGATTTACCAGCAACAAGAAGTGAACCTGAGCGCCTGCCTGTTTCCTTTCTCAGGAGTGTCTGAGAAGCCATTGAATGGGTACCTGAAGCATTCGCTTCTCTTGAAAACCCCGAGGCAGAAACTGGGTGGTCGTGGCAAGGCTGGGGGAGGGCCCTGTGCATTTCCTCCGTGGCCCCTTTGGTCAACCACACAGTGCACATTCACATGGCTGTTCCTCAGAAAATGGATTGATTTATTTAACATATTTTCCCCACCTTTTTCCTTAAAAAGGACCCAGGCAGCTTACATCTTAAAAGACAATATTTAAAGCTAAAAACAGTAAGTATACAAATATTGTACTTAAAAGGATCAAACAAATACCACTCTGAGAATTGGTAAACAAAAGCAATACTAAAAACACCTTCGAAGTGGTAAGGCACAGCAGTCCATTAAAAAAACCCATTCAGATAACCGCTCACCGAGGGAAAACCTGCCTGAAGAGAAAGGTCTTTGCCTGCTTGCGGAAGGACAGCCAAGATGGGGCCAGCCTAGCCTCCAGTGGGAGGGGGTTCCACAGTCTAAAGGAGCAGCCACAGAGAAGGCCCTCTCCTATATCCTCAACAAACGCACCTGTGAAAGTGGTGGGGGGGAAAGAAAGGCCTCTCCGGGTGATCTGGACACTCAGGCAGCCTCATAAGGGGGTCTTTTAGATTGTTTGAACCCAAGCCATTTCAGGCTTTATCACTTAGAACCAGCACTTTGAATTGTGGAAATGGATCGGCAGCTGCTGTGACAGTGGGGGGTGATGTCCTCCCTGCGACCGGCCCCAGTCTGCCACCTGGCTGCTGCGTTTTGGGCGTGCTGTGAAGTTTCCCAACACTTTCCACAGGCAGCCCCGCGTTGAGCCTGTTAACAGTAATCCAGCCGGGACGTAACTAAGGCGTGTGCCACCCTGGAAATGGTCTAATTCACATGGTCTCCGAAACCTGTGCACATGGCAGGGGGGAGGGGGGCTGAGTCCTTTTCCCATCACACACATCCATGCCCTCCCCTTCTTCACACTCCCCGTGATCAGTTTCTAGGCTGCTCTTGTTCCTCCGCCTTGTGGAGGGCAGGACAAGGCATGGATACATTCCGTTTCATAGAGCACTAAGTGTTGTTTGCTTTGCTTGAGAAAGTCCCTCCTCATTGTTTTTTTTCCCAGTCCATAGGACAGGGTCTGCCTTTCAGGGGATCAGCACCCCTGGATGGGCCACAGGAGCGCAAGGAGCCGCTCTGTCAGGAAGGCACACGGGCTCTCCTCTAAGAACAATGAGCCTGCTTATAGAAATGAAGTACAAGGGTTGATACTGTGGTGTAAAGAAAATAATCTTACACTTAACATCAACAAAACTAAAGAACTCATAATTGATTTTAGGAGGAAGAGAAATGTACATTTACCACTGTACATAAATGGTGAGGAAGTGGAGAGGGTTGGTAGTTTTAAATTTCTCAATTTTTGAACTGTTGCCATCTGGCAGAAGATATAGAACAATTAAGACTCAGACCACACATGTTCTGAATAGTTTTTATCCCAGAGCTATAATTGCACTTAATAATGAACTTAAAGACCACCAGCAGTGAACAGTTGGACAGTGTTATTTAGCCTGCGGTGCAGATGTTTGTGTTCTTAGTGGGGGGGGGGGTTAGCGAGTCGGGAGCGTTTGTGGATTTTTAATGTTCATGTGGGTCTGGTCTCTGGGTGTCTGTGTGAATTTCGTTGTATGTGTATACTATGTATATACTTACAATGACAATAAATTGATTTGATTGATTTTGATTTCAGTCCAAGGGGGCATCCCTCTTTGAGACCAGTGTTTGCTCTGGAGTAAAACAAAACAACAAAACCCATTGGCATGAAAAAGGGGGTCCCCTCTCCCACTGGAAATATGCCGGCTTAAAGGGAACAATCTTTTTCAGGGAGTGAAGGGAAGGGTGAAAGCATGGGGTCCTCTGGACACACAATGCACTTCCTCTGCTCGTGTCCTTTCCCTTTCCTGCCCAGCTGGTGTGATTTGCATCCCAAAATCCCAGATGTGTGGGAGGCAAGGGAGCCCGTATACTAATGCCTCTCTGCTCCGACCCTGAGCGTCTGTTGCCTGCTTTTGGCTTCTCCTGCTCATCACAACTTTGTGCAAAAGGTGTGGTCCACAGAAAAGTTCTTTGGTGGCGTGATGAACGGGATCTTCCTCCCCAACTGTCTGAGTTCTTCTGTTATCTGTATGATGGATTTTCCCTTCGTCTCTGGAAGGAAGACATAGATGAAAACTGCCGTCCCAGTGACTAAGGTCAAGAAGATGAGGAAGGAATAATAACCGAGGGCTTCCTGGAGACCAAAAAAAAAAAAAAAAGCGCAGAGGAAGAAATCAACATTTCTGTTGGCAATATAAGACAAACCTCCTTGGGACCCGTTTGCACCAGTCCCAACTCAAGAGAGATTCTGCACATGAGCAGGCAGGGATTTAGAGGCTGCTTAGGGCAGCAGTGGACATTGCAGGCAGCCTGTTTTTAGAAGAGGAAAATCTTTATGGGCTGATGGCGTGTGAGTGTCACAGGAGAAGTCTGTGTCTCTTTGACCTCCTGGGGTCGGGTTTGCAAACTAGTTTGCTTTGCTCCCGATTGGTCTTCAGGACTTAAGCACATTCTTCCTTTGCAAGCCTGATTTCTGAATGTGATTTCAATGCTAACTACAAGCTGTTTATAATGTCTCTTCCTAAGTGTTACTTTGTGTTTTCTTGTGCAGGCAGATGACACGAGGCAACTTCGCACATAGATCTTGCTGCAACAATGTGGACACAATAAAATAAATGTGGACACTTAAAACAACAACAACAACAGAAGGTTGTTCTTCCCTTGCCAGTTTCTCCAGCCTTGGAGTAGATTCAGCCCCTCCTGGGCACCCTTGTCCCCCTTCCCTCTTCATGGTCCTTCCCTCCCCTCCCCCACTTGCTCTTTTCTTACTTCTCTCCCCTTGTTTGCTCTCCCTCTTTATCTTTCCGCTTATGCTCTCCTCATTTTTCCCCCCACCCACCTCTCTCTTCCCTCTTGCCCTGGTCCTGAGCTTCCTTCTCCCTCCTGGTTTTATTTCTTTGTGCTGTAATATTAAAACACAGAGCCCAGGGACCACTACCACCACCTTTGCATTTCTTTGGGTCTGGAATGTGGGCCGTGGGCCTGGCTCTGCTTCAGGCGTCAGGATGACAGGATGACCTGGACTGAGGAAAGAGAGCGAGTGAAGGAAGGCCACTCACCATAACAAATGGGAAGCCTATTCCAGTCAGAAAGAGTCCCACCCAGCTGATGAGGCTGGCGATGACAAACCCAGCCGGCCTGGCCGACTGGCTGAAGACCTCCATCATGACGGAGAAGATCGCGCCGGCTGAAAAGAGGAGCAAGCCCACAGCAAATCAGGAGGAGGAACAACGGCTTTCTATTAAAATATTGAGCCAGTAAGCTTGGGAGAGAACGCAGCCTCTCAAGCCCTGCCGTGAATGAGCTGGGGCCGCCAGCGTCCAGGTCCTCAGCCCTTGGGGAAATCCTTCCAGAGACCCAAGAAGGCTGCCTTTCCCTGGCAAGAGCCAGCCCCCACCGTGGCCTTCTGCAGCGAAGCAGAGGAAGACTCGGGCGGCAGGGCGTGGGTGCAAAGGGGTTCCCCTTGTGCTGCTCTCTTGCTCGTCAGCCCCCCCCGCCCCCGTGAGAAGGGTCCCGACCAGACCCTTCCCAACTTGCCTCCTAAGGTTGCCCTGTCAGAGACAACGCTCTCCTTTCAAAGCAGGGAAGGGCGTGGCTGCCTCCCATCCCTCGCTCCTGTTCCTTCTTGTGAGCAGCAGCTCTGGGGACCCTGTTAGGGGACAGCCCACCGACAGGGCTGGTCAATGACAATAGGGAGCAGGCTGGCGATTCTTCCCAGCCTTTGTGTCTTCATTTCTGCTGGGGCCTCCTCCGTGGTGGCCTGCTTCCCTTTTCCCGCTCTTGCTGTGGGAAAACAGTTGCCAGCCTTCTGGCTTCCGGTTTACTTACACGGGCCGATCCCATAGAAAAAAGTGAACAAAAAGATGAGCGCGACGCTGCAGTAAGAAATCCAAGGGTGCCGATCCTGGAAGGCAAAGCGAGAGCGAAGTGACATGAGATGCCTCCCTCCGGTGTAAAGCCAGACCCTTCTTGGGTCTCCGTGTATATGGCTTTACACAGGCTTTACACATATAGATATATGCTTTACACACACACACACACACACACACACACACACAGTGCTTTGGAGGTTGATGACCTGCATGGCAATGACACGATGCTCATCTTCCTTCTCCTAGTTTACTCCACCCTGCCCTGATAACCAGGCGCTATACGGGACATGGACACCTGGAGGCTGCATGCTAGCGTTGGTGCCTCCCAAGAAGTGGGCTGTGATCCATGGACTCTCGGGCCAAGGACACTGGCTCAGCCTGCAAGAGGCTCCAAGCTTCTGTTTTTTTTTACAGCCACTGCGACACGATGCACAGGCTTTCCCTCTCCAAATGAAAGCTCTTCCTCTGTCTGCGTCCTGAGTTTTGTTCTTGGTGCATGGAGGGATTTCACCTGGCCTTTGGGGGCAGGGGGGGGGGCTCTGATAATCCTGCTGCCAGTGGGAGGCGGCCTTTCCAGCAGGGCAGTCGCCCAGGCTCACTCCAAGCATGGGGTTTCGATGAGAGAAAATCCTAGCCCAAATGCCAAAGGCAATAACAATGGGCACGTCTAGAACTGAGTGACTTAGAGATTAAGGTCCGTACACGAGAACCAAACCCGGCTCCATTTAAGAGAAATGCTAAAGAAGCAGCCAAATCACAAGCGACAGCACCCACCCAAGGAGCTGCCCCCCAACCGGAAGGGGGTCAATGCAATCTACGGCCTCTCGTGGTGTCTCAGGAGCAAGGAGGCGAGGTGCCTACAGAGGTCCATTTCCCACCATCCAGTCAATAGCAGTCGGCTCTCCAGCTGAGGCCTCCGTGCTCAGGTAGGTGGCACGTGACTCTTTCCGCTCTATTTCTATTTACACAAACGCCACCAAACTCAGCCCCGTCTCCACCTGCTGGGAGGCCATGGGGACCCTCTCAGAGGGACAGAAGTCAAAGCAGAGGGGAAGGGGAAGGGCTACCACCTAAAAATTTTAACCACCATCATTTTGTGCTTGAGATAAAGAGGGCATGAACCCATGAGCCTCCTCTGGGATGAAATGCAGGGCCTCCCTGGGCCCAGCCTTGGGCAAGACCAAAGGGGAGGCTGACAGAGACCTCCCATCCCTCTGCCAAGCCCCGTTTGAGACTTGGCCTGGGTGGTGGAGCAAACAGCGCTTGAAGATCCCCTTCAGTCCAACTGCAGCCAGGGCAAGGGGAAAGGGGTAGCAGACGTTGGCCTTGGCTCACCTGAAGAGAGAGAGTCAGGATTAGGAAGGCCAGTGCCCAAGCCATCGCCCCGTAGCCGCCCCACAAGAGAATCCTCCGGCCGACGCGGTCAATGATCGCGCTCTGTGGGGTCAGAAAACATCGTCAGTGAGGGCAAAATCCTGCCTAGGAAGGGGGCACTGGCTGGATCCTTCTGTTGAGCAGCTGGTGGTGGAGATGGCCGGATGTCACCGGGGGGGGGGGTACCCTAAGCCACCTTTTATTGTTCTTTTATGGAGAAAGGCTCAGGAAATATATATTAAATTAAATAACTAAACTCAGCTTCCACCGAAGAAGATGCTTGCTTTGCACATGGAAGGGGGGAAAGAATGTGTGTGTGTGTGTGTGTGTGTGTGTGTGTGTGTGTGTGTGAGAGAGAGAGAGAGAGAGAGAGAGAGAAGGATCTCTCCAGGCTTCCTGGGCACCTGTCCTTTACTTTCTCTCGCCTGTGCTGACTTTCCTTCAACCTTCAATGGCTATTCTTAGATGGTTATTCATTGTTCTCAGTGTCACAACTTCCCTCTCACCTTCCGCCTCGCCTCTTGTCCCTCTGAGGAGGAGGCATCCTTCCCTTTGAGGTCTAGAGATTAAAAGGGAAGACATCTGTAACTGTTTAAAGTGTCTTTCTCTAAGAAAGGCAAGCTCTCTGTTTGCCTTAGGAGGAACTACAGACAGGATTCCTTTACACAGGAGGAACTGTGCCCTGGTAATAACCCTGAGTTCCAAGGGCCTGAATCCACACGTTGGATTCCCTAGAGTGTGTCTGGGCCAGAGGGAATGTTTCTGACATTCAACGCAAACGTGGATCAGACTCTGCATGTCTTAAGTTGACCCACAACAAAGAGGCCTCCAGGCCACTGGGAACCACTTGCGTCAAACAGCATTCGGCAGACCGTCCCACCTCCTTCCCCTGGCCTGCCCTTGCCAATCCCCAGGGATGAAGCCTCCACAGGGCCACGCCACCTCCATGAAGCAGCCTTGTGCCTCTCTCGCCTGCTAGGCTCAGCTCCCTCCTTTGGCAACAGAGCTGACCCTCCTATAGGGAGGCGACCAGTCCTGACAACAAGGCTGCCCCATATTTCCTGACTCCTCTTCTCTATCAGGCAGGCACTTACACACAGGATAACAGAGATAAGTTCACAAAGACCCATGCCAAGCGTCACGTAAGGGATGAGGGCTTCCTCCAGCTTGGCCGTGCGGAAAACTTCAAAGGCATAGAAGTAGATCTGGAAAAGCCAAAGGGCAGCGTGGGAATAATATGCAAAGCCGGTTAGACTGGAAGGCGTTGATCAAATTCTAGCAACACCATGATGGGTGGAAGGCGCTGAGCCTCTTCTAGCCTGTAAACAGAGACCAGGCCAGCACCCTGGCCCTATACTGCAGCAGCTGCAAATTGCTCTTGGCTCTTTCCCTGGGAATTAATCGCCTTTGTTTTATGGCAAACTCGCTGCCAAGAGGCAAGCTAAGGCTGCCTCTTGACGAAGCCGTCTTTCAGCCTTGCCCTTTCAGGAAAGAATTCCCTCCCTCCCCGCAGCTCCCCTGAGGACCCGTGAAGCAGGAGGAGCATTTCATCTTTCGGATGCCCTGCAAAAGCCAAGGAACAACACGTGGCCTTTCCACACCAAATACCTAACTGCACAAGCATCCAAGCACGTTAGCCAGTAAACCAACAGGGGAGTTGTGGAACTTGCTTGGTGTCCCTCGTGTTGACTCTGCTACTCAACTGCGCTCAAGCCGTTGGTCTGCAGGCTCATCATCAGGAGGATGGTGATGGCGAGGGGCCGCCGAAAGGACGGGCCCTTCAGCACCTCCAGGACATTCAAGCTCTTGTTGCTCCCAGTAGCCTCCTTCTCCTTCATGATGTCCTCCATCTCGCCTTCATGGCACCCGTCTCCCCAGAGGTCCTTCATGGCTTTGTGGGGGAAAGGAACAGAGCAGAGGCATTCTGTTCAGGCGCCCACTCTCCCCTATCAGCTAAAGAAGGCCAAGTCTCCTCAGGTACGGCTCAGGCTCTGCCACAGAAGAAAAGGGCAACCTTCGCCAGCTTCATGGAAGCCTTGCAAAGCCTTAGCTGTCCCTTAGCGAAACCCGCCTAGGGCGAGGCATTCAGCAAAACCGGGAGAGACAAGCGACGTACCCTGTTATTTGTGGGTTTCACAGTTCCGTCATTGTGTTACAGTGCTACTAGCATTATTACTTTTTAAATGTTGGATTAGCAACCAGTAACATTGCCCCTTTTGGCTTCTCATTTCCTTGGTACTCATAAAAGGTCAATTTGGAAGGATCCTTTTAGAAGCCGATGGATCCACCCTGGGATATTTTTGTTATATTTTCAAAAAGCTTAGAAAGTGACCCATCAGCATTGACTAATGTACTGAATTTCTTTTGAATGATGAAAAAGCTTGAAAAGTTGCTTTGAAACTAAGAATGAAGCCATGTGCTACTTTCAGCTCCTCTCCAAGGTGGGGAGAAAAGCCGTCCGGCCGTCTCACCTTGTAGGCAGCCTTCCTTGTCTTCCTTCTCGATCAAGAGATATGGGGGCGATTCCGGGAACAGCGGCAACAGCACCAGGTTCAGCAAGGCAGGGATCCCACAGAGGGCCAAGAGCAGCGGCCACAAAGACGGGGTGCCCAAAATATCTCTGCCGGGGTGGGGGGAGAGGCTCCGTTAGCTTGGCTGTAGCTGAGGATTGTATGGTGGGGGTCAGGGAAAGATATGGTGAAGCCCCTCCGGGTCTGCAGGTCTGCCCTGATATCTCTCTCTCTCTCACACACACACACAAACACACACACACACACACATTTTAGGGTCTCTCAATTATGGGGAGACCCCACCAATCACCGTGACACCAGCTCTTGCTCTGATGTGCTCAGTTCATGCTTCCTCGGGAACCGCTTGGGCACCACAAGTTAATAAACAGAGAATAATCTCCCCCCCCCCCCCCCCCGAAAGGAAACCTGACATTTCACAAACTCAGCTGCAAGATGGATCTGTCATGAATTATTACAACATTTGGGCAAATATTGATAAAAGGGGGGGGGTCTGTGAGGGCTAAATTGAGATCATTTGTGAGATTAGTGGCTCTGGTGAACTTACCTTAAGCCCATAATCTGTCCCAAGGCTTTTCCTAACGAAAAAAACACAGCCCCTGTGGTGAGGGCAAAGCCTCGGAATTTCTTAGGTGAAATTTCTCCCAGGTACGGTCCGTACGTGTTCATGTACATACCTCAAGGAAGAAGGGCAAGGAGGAAGAAAGTTATCTATGCAGAAGACTGGAACCCTGCCCATGAAACGGCATCCACCACCACCCCGTCTGCCGGCAGCCCTTTCTGAGTCAACCGTGGTCCCTGCGAGGCTGTTCTGCTGCACTCTCTCGCCCATGAATCCCTGGCACTTTGGTTCGTACCTTACCAGGTACATTGGGGGTCAGACCTTCCAAAGTAAGCAGTGCGGCTCAAGAGACCCCGAGCGGGACTTCAAGACCAGTAGCAACCATTCCTCCCCAGCAGGGAGTGAAAGGGGGCTCTTCTAGAACTCAGAAAATCCCCTCTGGTTGCCAGGTCAGTTCCCCAGTGAAGCTCCAGGCAGGGTGAAGGTGGCTTTCATTGCCCGTGGCCACTGCCAGCACCACCAAGGCTCCTTAGAGGTCACGAGCAGCTCTACCAGAATCAGAAAGCCCCGGGTTTTGCACATTGAGGGCTCTTTGGCCGATGGCGGCTGCGCCCATTTGCAGACAGATGGACCAAATGGCAAGAGGTCAGTAATACGCACACTCTAAATTCTTTTTTATCCTTGTCCCTTAAAGCAAGATTTCAAACAGTTTTCTTTTCTTTCCAGAAAGACCCACCTGCCTGAAAGCTTAGAGACCATCCATGGCTGCTGAATCCCGGAGGGGACCTGGTTCAGCAGAGAAGGTGGGCCCCAGCTCCCCCAACGGGCCTCCCCCTCAGCCGTCTCTCCTCCTCCTCTTTCTGCCGTTGACGGGCCAGGGAGCGCCTGGGTGCTTGCTCTAAGCCCTCGGCTTCACCCCTCTTGTCAGGATCCCAGAAATCCTACCTGCGCTGATGCCATACAAGCAACGGCCCACCAGGACCATTTCAAAAGAGCCGGCCATCTTACTGGAGCCGAGCAGCAGGGCACCTGAGATGGCAAACAGGTCACCAAACAGCAGAGTCTTCTTTCTGTAAGAAACAGAGAATAAGAGAAAAATTTGGTGAGAATAAGAGAAAAAAATTTTCAAATTGGGTTTAAGATGGTATTTGATATCGATGACACTGAATAAAATGAACGCTAGTTAACTGAATGTCTGTTGGAAATGTGAGAAGGAAATTGATACATACTTTCATATGTGGTGGGAATGCAAAAAAGTACAAAGATTTTGGAAACTAATCTTTAAAGAACTAAAGGACATATGTGAAAAGGGTATAGAATTTAATTCTGAGATAGCTTCATTATCAATATGTGAGAATGTGGAATGGGATAAGATGGGTAGAGAATTGATTACCAATTTATTAACAGCAGCCAGATTAATAATAGCTAGGAACTGGAAATCAAAGTCTGAATTTTGAATGGAAGAATGGTACAGTATAAGGAAATATGGAACATTGCTATAAATGATAAGCTAACTTTTAACTTAAAGGTTAAGAAAGGAGAGATGAAATAGAATAATTTCTATGATATGTGAGGTAGATTTCTTGAATATTTGCTAACCAGAGGAAAAGGGAAAGCTCCAAATCAAGAATCAATGCAGTTCTGGAATAAAGGAAGAAGAATAGAGGAAGAAGAGGATTATGTAAGACGTCCCACGACTATGGTGGTGGGGAACATAGTCAATTCAAGAGGTCCCATGACTATGGTGGTGGGGAACACAGTCAGTTTGTATTTTGGTTTATATATTTTATGTTTATGATTTTGTTGTAGTTTAGGAAAAATAAAATAATTTTTTTTTAAAAAAAAGAAACAAAACGCTGGTGTGAATTGGAGGACTCTCCCCCACCTCTGCTCTCAGCGCTGCTTCCCCGCCAGCCCTAAAGGCAAATGCTTCCTGTGGCCTTCTTGCCGTCATTATCATCTCTCCTTTCTAGGTCATTGCCAAACAGAGAAGCAAGGTGGAATGGGGGGGGGAGGGGGGAAGGTGAGGAGGATCATAGGGGGTAAGATTATTCGTGACATCATGCACAGCTATTTTGTGGGCGATGAGCGAAAGGGCCAGGCCCTCAGCAAGTCCCATGATGGGCAGAGATGCCTACTTTCCATATCTGGCACTCAAGGGTTGGCTCGAGAGGCTGCCCAGGAAACCCCCCAGGCAGTAGATGGACACAATGAAGGACCACAGCAGGGCCACCGTTTCCTGGGGGAGGGGAGACCCGTGGCGCTCCATCCACGTTGCATTGATAAATCTCTTTATGTCCTGGCGAGAGAGGAAAATGAAGACGGATTCAAAAGTTCATAATTCCAGCAATGGCCGACTCAGCTTCAGACTGAAGGCATTCCACCTCAGGTTTAAAAGCAAATCAAAAGAAGAGTAATTGTCCAGGCAGGCCCCTCCTCAGCCCTCCACTCCCCACCTGTAAAGATGGAGGGAGGATCCTGACAGCCTCTTTGCTGTGAATAGAAGGGACCCCCCCCTTGTCTGTACCAAAAGTCTTCCAGTGAAGACTCCTGCGGGGGGGGGGGGAAAGGCCTTGGGCTCGGGGGAANGGGCCATTGCCAGAGTTGATCACACCTTCTGTGGGTTGGGGAGCCCCACTGCCACCTCATGGAGCACCACAGGTTGGGCGTGGATCCGTTCTGCCTTGCACGCTTTTGCACAGAGAGGTGGTGCAGTGGCCAAAGAGCTCACCCATAGAGAAAGGGTGGCCCCGCCTGCTGTGGCCTCCGGTGGGTTTCTCAGCCTTGCACGGTCCCTGAACTCACCTGGGAAGGATAGGTGATGACAGAGACATGGAAGCCCACCAGGAGGGTCCCGCCCAGACCCAACACAAGGGTCATCTGGAAGAATCGCCGGTAGCGCACCTGCAAAGGTAAAGCCACCATCCTGACCCCCAGCCTTTCTCCTTCTCCTCATGGCTGCCTCCACATCTGCCATCATTGGAGGCAAAATTCCCCCCCCCCCGGAAGGAGCAGATGCAGAGGCCAGAGGAAGGTGCAGAGGAACGCAGTCTGTGTTGCCTCGGCTCTTGAGGCCTTCTGGGCAGGTGGCAAGAAAGGGAAAGGAGGGCTTTGCTTCTTCCGCAGAATAAGGACGCAAGGGATTTTGTGGGAAGGCAGGTGGTTCCCAGGCAGAGCCCAGCCAGAGGGAGTGCCTCGAAGGGGGTGGGTTGGTGGGAGAGGAGAAGAGCTTCAGGAGGAGAAGGCTTCCTTTGGGGGGGGGGTTCTGAAGTCCACCCTATGGCATCAGGGCAGTGGGGCAACCAGCCCACGCCAGTAGGGAGGCTGCTACTCACAAGGTCGGAGAGGAAACTGGCCGCCATCTCCTTGACAAGTCCTGCCCAGTCTCTGGCTGGAGGCGATGGGAGATCTTCCCCGGCTGGACAACCACCACCCTCAGAAAGAAGTGAGCAGGACAGGAGGGAAGGCTCTGCTTTCTAGCAGACCAGTGGTTCTTGCTCGTGTTAGCGATTGGAGGAGAACCTGCTCTCTCGGGTTAACGATTTAAGAGAGCCGGATGGCGACATTCTCCTTACTCATGATGGGCTCAGCAATCTTTACCTGCCTGCTGGTAGTTAGGATCCTGCCAAGAATGGGCACGTGAGAAAGAGCAGAGGAAACCCGCCCAGCCTTTCCTCTTGGTTAGCCTGGCCAGTCTCCAGCCTGACCTTTCTACAGCATTGAGGGGTTTCTGTCGTTTCCCCCCGCCCCCGCCCCATGACAGACCGGCGGCTGCCAGGGACCGGCGCTCTCGCTGGAGCTCCGTAGATGCCGGACCCCCCTCGCTGCCTTTGGGGCCTTTTCGCTTGCTCTTGCTTTCAGACTTTGGTTTCGTGATTCCCCTAGACTGAGGGACTCCCCAGCCGCCCCTCCTCGAACCCTTCCTCCAGAGAATGTCCCCCTCCTTCCCCAATCCTTCCTGCACAGAGAGTGACCTCTCCAACAGCCTCTGTGTATGACTCCCCCCGCACCCCCCCATAGGACGGCAGGTCCCCCAAATGGCCAGAGAGCAGTTTCCCCAAGTTCTGCTCCTTGCTGTTTTTTTACTGCCGCTCCTGCCGCTGGCTAGAGGAGACCAGAGGGGCAGGCCGTGGGAGTTCTCTCCGCAGGGGCCTCTTTGAAATCTGCTGCCAAATCCACTTCTTAGGCTCAGCGGGAGGAGAGCCACTGAAGTGAACGGATTGTGTTCATAGGTGAAGCCTGCTGATTCCAGTAGGTCTCCCTAGCTGTGACCAATGTTCAGTTTTGCTCACTGCCCGGGCTCAGTGCAGCCTTCCTTTTTCAGCTAAGCTTGAAGGTACATTTTCTTGGAAAGAGAATTCCTTGAAGGAAGAACTGGTCAATTCTGATACTGAAGTGCAACATCTGAGGCTTAGGAACAATCCTTGCTAAAATCAACAAGATTTCAGCTGGGTGAATTAGCAAGAAAAACAAATGGAACAGACAGAAATAGACAGCAGGCGTATTACTAAACTATCAATTTGAAATTCAAAATATAAACAAAAACAACCTGAGAGCTAATTTACTAATCAAACTAATAATTGTTTTAACTAAACACTAGAAAAATGCTGGATGCTACTCAGAAGGGTTGGTTTGCAGATTTTTCTAGACTTTAACTTCATATAGCAAACAGTATTTTTCAGTAAGAGGGACGGTTTTGTTTTGTATTGGAATGGTCATTTTCTGTTCAGTAGATTGAATAAATATGGTTTTTTAAAAAAAGCTTCTCAAAATTAAAATGAAAATAACAGAAACAAACCACATCAGGCTTTTAAATCACACATTTATCAATAATGCAAATAATAATAATAATAACTGTGTGCCATCCAGTCAATTTCAGAGCTAAAGGTGCAAATATAGACTTGCAGAGGTAGCTGATGGTTGGTAGCTGATGAGCAGGAGGAGGAGAAATCTACCTGCTGTCTCATTCGCATGCATGGAGACCGAGGAATGGCTGTATGGACACCAGTGGGAGGGTCAGAGAGACTCAGGGCTCCAGCAAGGCATCAGGGCAGGCGGTCTGACCAGCAGGGAAATGGCAGCAGCGCTGTGCAGCAACTCTTCCCAGCCTCCAAATGAGAAATAAGAGGTGCGCCCTCCACGCCACCCACGAGATGTTCTGGAGCAGCACAGGCCCAGGCCCTACCTTCCTAAGAGGGGTCCTGTCCATCAGCCGACTGTCTCGGGGTTTTTTTCCCCCCAGCTGTAGAGAAGGAGCAGGTGGAGCCCTCTACTCCGGATCGGACCAAGAAACCCCTCAGGCTTGAGACTGGGAGGCTGCGTCCCTGAGCCGACTGTCAGCAGGCTGTGTCTCCAGTGTTATGCGAGGCCCCCTAGAATGGCTCCAGCTCCCACATTCTCTTCCCTGCCAGCCAGTCCAGGGGCCAAGAGAGAAGGCGGCCTGTGGCGGGGACACCCATCCGGTCCCTGTTGTCAGGCCAGACCGTCTCCTCTCTCTTCCGAGGCTACAGCATGGTGGATTTTGTTTCTTCAGAAGGCTCCGCCAAGTTCTCCTCCCTCTGGGCACTGACGTTCCACTTGTCGAACTCTTCTGAGATTTCCAGAAAGGTTTTCCCCTTTGTCTCAGGGAAGAAAAAACCAACATAGAGCGCTGTGCAGACGCAAACGGTGAGGAAAGGCAGGTAGCAGTAATGGCCGAGTCCTTCCTGGGATGGAGAGAAGACACAAAGCACCAAGGAGGCTGGGGGCGTGCAAAGGGGGGGGGAGGCGCAGGGGCCGGGGGCTTTGCTACAGGGGAGATAGATATGTGCCATCCTTTACCTCCCTTTTAGTCCCAAGGGTCACTTAAGGATCTCTCCCCTCCTTTGGGGGGCTTTCTGCGAACGGCGTGCAAGCCAGCATCGGGGCACAACCTACCACAATGAAAGGAAATGCTGTGCCCACCAGGAACAGGTTGGTCCAGAGCAGAGAGCCGCTGATCATGTATGCAGCCGGGCGGGTCATCTGATCAAAAATCTCTGTGGGTATCACTCCCGTCACACCGGCTAGACAAAAAACAGCATGTCCTTCAATGCCTTCTTTGTCTTTTCTTTTCCTTTTCTTTTCCTTTTTTCTTTTTTTTCTTTTTTTTTTTGGTATTATGGGCACACATAAATATACTTAGTAAATCTAATGAACGGTGAACCTAGCCACCCACAATTGTGAGTTTGGGCTAGAAAAGTGCAACATGGACAACCTCAAGGTTTAGAAAACACCAGCCAGACTCGCATCAGACCTTCAAGCCCTGAGACGACAATCCCCCCTCCACAACCCAGTAAGTGGCTGCATGTGCTTCCCACTGGCCCCTCCCCACCACCACCACCACCACCACCCTTTGTGTGGAGATGTCTACAACAAATAAACAGACCTTCCTTGCCTTCATAGGAAAGTTGGTGGGGCATTGTATCAGCGTGGAGGGAAGCCCCTGCTGCTCCCTCCCTGGCCCCCTGTGTCCACCTTCTCCTTGGTCCAGCAAAAGAAGCCCCTGGAAGAGGCCCCTGGGTGCAGGTGGAGGGTAGAGGAAGAAGCACCTTCTGTGGAAGCCAAGAGGTGGGCAGCCGGACTCTGTCAAGCTCAGCTCCAACTCACCCGGCCCAATGCCAAAGCTCAGGATGTAGGCAAAGAGGCAGCCCATGCTGAGATAGGGCATCCAGCTGAGTTGATCCTGCAGGCCCAAGGGGGAGAGGATGACATGGGGTGGGGAAGAGGGAGCTTTCGCTGGTGCCCCCCACCCCAGA